CCTGCTGCAAGACTGAGGATGAGCTCCCTTTCTCCACAGCCTCAGATGAGCTATGTGCAATTTTTACTATCTTATCATTGACCATCTTAAACCCACTATAGATTTGTCTTTTGCTTTCTGAACTCTGACTCCTCAAAACAAGTTCCTGTGGGCATACCTGAACCTGTTTCTGTCCCTGTGTGAATGCAAGGCCTGCACTCCACTCTGGCTCCTTGATGCAATCTGTTTCTAAATCCTGAAGTGGAGAATGCTTTTGCAGGACTTCCAAGAGGGGTTTTGCTCCATCTGGGAGATGACTCTTCAGAGGCTGATCCACCCTACCTAGATTCTCCACAGGTCTTCCATCAGTTCTGCCTACTTGCCCTAGAGAATCTATATGATGAGTTTCCCTTTCCTCACCTACTTGTAGGTTCATTTCTGTTACTGTTTCAGGACATGGTTGCAGGATTTCAGGCCACCTTCTCTGTGGTGAGTCAACAGGATTTTCCTTTGCGTCTTCATCTCTCCCAGTCACTTCTTTTTCTTCTGCATTTTGCTCAACTACTTTTGCTTCACGGTCAGTCTGAGCCTTTATCTCCCACTCAGCTAAAGCACAGTTTGTTTTGTTTTCATGTGTACCTATCTGCATGGAGCTACTGACATGCAGTTTTAACTGAGAGCATTCCCCTGTCTTCAGTATGCCTGCATCCATTTGGGAAGGACGGGAGAAATGCCCCCAGCAGTCCAAACCAGCTCTTTTGGAATGCTTGCTGTCTTCTTTTAAAGGCTTCTGTTTATTTTTTTTGAGCCTTGCCATACCTTCTTTTCGTTTCAGAAAAGCCTTCTGAGGTGTTACTTTTGCCTTGCTCTGAAAAAAACACAAAAAATTGTGACAATCACAGTCTGAGAATCATTCTCCAGAACGAAAGGTATTTATGATAACTGAAAAAGCTGAAACACCAGAAATCTTAAAGACACTGACTGTGGGTAACTGAGTATATAAGTAACAGCCCCAAGACTACAGGGAAGGTACAAGAACTTTTAGAAGTAGTTGCTATGTGATGCCTCCATTAATTCATTAGTAGAATCAGATGGTTAAGATGGTGCTAAGTGTTTATATGATAGAAGATGAGAAAATTTCTTTCTGTCTTTATTTTTAAAGGAAGTTTGAGGGGTTTTTTACCAGGTGATGCAGAAATATATAAAAACATCAGTTGGAGATGTTGAGACATAGAGGAAGTTCCTGAATGATGAAATGTGCATCTTCAAAGCCAACAGCTCTAACAAAATGCTGAGTCTGACACCTAGAGGTGTTAGACATAAACTTATCTCAAATAACACATAAGGCAAAAAGCAGACCAGTACTACTGTACTTGGCCCTTGTACAAAAACTGTATTTGGAAATGCCCCCATTCTTGCCTTAATGGCACATGGGAGACTGCATGGACCATTTATTATGAAATAAACAGAATCAGCCTTTCAAGGTCGGGTTGGACGGGGCTCTGAGCAACCTGATCTAGTTGAAGCTGTCCCTGCTTATTGCAGGGGGCTTGGACTAGATGACCTTTAAAGGTCCCTTCCAACCCAAACTGTTCTATGATTCTATGATTCTATCAACCTTGAAGTCTAATTTAGCTAAGTGTTGAGACTTGAGCGCAAACTATGACCCAGAAAGTATGTGGAAAGAGAAATCCGATGTGAAACAGTGAGGAACATGATTGTGATTGAGTAATACAGTTTTTTTACTTTTGGGAAAAATCTTCCAATATCACATGAAAGAACAGTGGAAAAATGTGCTGCAATGCAATGAGCCAAAACAGAGACCACACAATACCCAAGTCCATGAGAATTTGTCAAAAACAAAGCAAATGCACCAATGACACCATAACCTGCTGCTCCTTCTGCTGTTTTTCTATGGGATGATTATCTTCTTTAAGTTGTTCTTCAACAAATTCTTTAGAAGTCTTCTGTCTAATACCAATTGCTGGTGTGATTGGCCTAAGCAAGGAACAAGAAGGTACTTATCTGTAAGGTTCTTCAATTAGTTTTCTTTTGATAATTCTCATGGAGCTGATGTTGAGTTTAGAACTGAAACGTTCTCTGTAATTTTTTTTAAATGTGAAGCATGTTAGTAAAAAGCCCAATATAATGTGACATCTAAGTCTCACTTCAAAGCATTCTGTCCAGACTAAACATTAATTGTGCTTTTAGCAAGTAACAGTTTTTGGCTGGTATCAGTGTGTCCTTAAAAACAGAAAATAGTCAAAAGGAAAAATATTTCAGGCATTTTCTCCAGCTAGAGCTGGTGACAGCCACAAAGAATTCACTATCTCTCTGACAGAGTAGTTTGAATCAGTTGATGAAGAGAGTCAGGGGAGAAAAATAATGTCTATACTGTTGTGGAGAGACAAATTGGATGATGACTCAAAGTGAAGCAAAATACAGCATACCTGGGCATATCTTATTTCACTGGAAATGTGCTTAGAGCCTTAGTTTAGTCACTTACAAATAATTGCTACTGAATATTAAAAAATCCTGGGTTTAATAGAGGTACTGGTTATGCAGCACATTACTGTTCTTTCTATACCTCACTTCCACCCCAGTGTACCACAGCCAATTTTTTTGTTTGTCAGCCTGGCTCTGTTAGCACACAGCGTGGCCTAATAGGATTAGATTTTGTTGTAGACAGATATGTAGAGCAAAACTTGTTGCTGAGGACTCAACTTTAGACAATACACATTTCAGGGAAGTTTACTTCAAACCAACTATAGCCTGGTCCCATAGTGAAATTGCCACAAAAAGCTGGAGTACATTCTGTGCTTTAGTTTCATCCAGCTCATGCCAAGACCACAATGTGAACCAAAGCACAACAAGTGGGATTGACTGGGGGACAGATTTTAGAAGCTCATTGATGATGCAAAAAGGCATATGTGGGCAGGCCCACTTGCCCCAAAGTGCTTATGGTCCTGTCGCCGCTTCCCAGGCTTTTGCTATGAAGGTCCCTCTCTTCCTTCTCTGCCCAACTCCCACGTAGTTAACACATTAAAACACTCATGACAATTATTCTCAGTCTGTACTTGCCTACAAGTTTGCTAATTCTCTTTTATACTTGATGGAAGGCTCAGTGTGCCAAAAAGCTGCTCCTTGTGTCTGCATCAGCTGAGGAAAGGTAACAACTTGGTGAGCATTTCTTTTATCGCTAATGCCAACCTACCCATTCTTGCCTAGCCTTGAGCACCCCCTCAGTGTGCTGGTATAACTCTTTTTGCAATGCTGTGATGGACTGGGTTTGCATGGCAAGGTTTTCGTAGAGGGGGGCTGCAGGAGTGTCTTCTGTGAGAAGCTGCTAGAAGCTTCCCCTGTGTCCAATAGAGCCAGTGCCACCTTGTGTCTGATAGAGCCAATCCCAAGCCGGCCCTGCCGCTGGCCAAGGCTGAGCCCATCAGTGACAATGGTGGCATCTCTGGGTTAGCTTATTTTAAAAGGGAACAACTTGCACAACGGCAACTTCAGTCAGAGAGGAGTGAGAATATGTGAGAGAAACAGCTCTTCAAGGTCAGTGCAGAAGGAGGGGCAGAAGGGCCTCCAGGCACTGGAGCAGAGAACCCCCGGCAGCCCCTGGTAAAGACCATGGTGAGGCCAGCTGTGCCCCTGCAGCCCAGGGAGGTCCACGCTGGAGCAGATCTCCACCTGCAGCCCAGGGAGGACCCCACGCCAGAGCAGGCTGTGACCCTGTGGGAGGCCCACACTGGAGCAAGGCCCTGGCAAGACCTGTGGACCTGTGGAGAGAGGAGCCCAGGCTGGAGCAGGTTTGCTGGCAGGACTTGTGACCCCGTGGGGGACCCACGCTGGAGCAGTCTGTTCCTGAAGGACTGCACCCCAGTCTGTTCCATGAAGAACTGCAGCCTGTGGGAGGGACTCATGTTGGAGAAGTTCATGGAGGACTGTCTCCTGTGGGACGCACTCCATGCTGGAGCAGGGGAAGGGTGTAAGGAGTCCTAGCCCTGAGGGGGAAGGAGTGGCAGAGAAAATGTGTGATGAACTGACCACAACCCCCATTCCCCGTCCCCTTGTGCTGCTGGCAGGGAGGAGGTAGAGAAAAACCAGGAGTGAAGTTAAGCCTGGGAAGGTGTTTTGAGATTTGGTTTTAGTTCTCGTTACCCTACTCTGATTTGATTTGTAATAAGTTAATTTTTCCCCAAGTCGAGTCTGTTTTGCCTGTGACAGTAACTGGTGAGTGGTCTCTCCCTGTCTTTATCTTGACCCACAAACTTTTCTTTGTATTTTCTCTCACCTGTCCAGTTGAGAAGGGTAGTGATAGAGCAACTTTGGTGGGCACCTGCCCTGGCATCCAGCCAGGGTCAACCCACCACAAGTGATGAACCAGATCAGAGAACAGATCCAAGTTAAAAGTTAAATTTCTCCCCTCTCCAGGTAATTTTAACAAGGATTACTTTGCTGACCTCTTTACTATATAGGCACATAAAAATTGGTCTTGGCACAGCCGAAGAGGCAGAGCAAGGACAAAAAATGAATGAGCTACTCAGACTGATGCTGTCGTCACAAACTGATGGCCACTGCAGAAGAAATGATGGCATAATAGAAGATGTTATCTCTCCCTGCCAACTTTTGCCTTACTTCTATCCTTTGAAGACCACAGCTGCAATACCAGTTCATTTAAATTGGCTAAACCAGCATCCTATATATAGTAGATTAACTCCCAGTCCCTCAACCTGTCCAATCTCTGCCCACGCATGCCATCTCAAACAAAGGAAAGAGCCTTTGTGTTGCAAACATAACACATACAATCTGTGTACAATCAAGGAACACATGCTTTTGTAGCTTGACTGACTAGGATAATTTCTCACCTGCCTTCTATGTTTCCAGTCTTCATCTTCCCCTCTATGCCAAAGGGAGATGGAAGGATCTCCTCCTTTACTTGTTCTCTTTGTTCTTCTTTGACAATAGAAAAAGTTTCAGGGAAACTCCTTTCTTTTAATTTACTGTTATCTAAGCAAAAGGAAAAAGGTCAATGAAAACAAAGCCTCTATAGAATGAATAAACATCATGAAATAAATTAGAAATGTTTATATTTTTGACAAAATATGTGAGATTTGATTTTTGGAAACACTTTAGAAAATACAGTTGAATTAAGTAGGTGGAAGGATGCAACCCATGAAAAAAAGAGGCTCCTGATCCTCAAATCTAGTTGCTGGAAATAAGGAAAAGGCAAATGGTATGATTTGTAGTCCTTGCTTCTGGAGATTTGTGGTGCTTGGTTAATATGTTCACTGCAGAACATTGCAGTGGAGACACTTTGCCAGACAGTCCTAATTACTTGTGTATCTGTAATTATGTGACCTTGCAAGCCAGTTCATTAAACAGTTTAACAAGCAGTATTTGTACACCTGATACTTTCTAACTGGGCATCTTCTATTCTATTTCAGAAAAGTACAAATTTGTACATCTTCCTATTGAAGCTTACTGGCTATGTTCACTGCAAGAAGGCGGCTCCCACTTCAATTAATCTTTTTTCTAAGTGTCAGCTAATGGAGGCTTGCACTGTTAGCTCAAGTTAGGCCTGTCAACTGGAGCAAAAAGTCTTCACTGGTGCATTCATACTACAGACTCATGCTGTAGCCAGGAACTATGTAGCTCACTTTGTCATGTTAATGTACACAGTGCCACCGAAGTCCTTTGCAACATACTGAAAGGACTTTCTGGTCCAACAACAGGAATATAAAAGCTTCACATCCTTCTCTCAGCCTTTCTCAGCTACACACCAAAAATCTCCAGTCCAACAGCAGGCAAGCAGTGTTGTTTCTGCAGCCTTCTCACCTGCCTTGCTCCAGAATATGGCTGAGGAGG